AAACATTCACGAAATAAAATTGGACATTTCCCAAAGAAAGTCTTATTCTCATAATTAATATCTTGGGATGCAAATATTTCAATAATAGCTGTCTGTTGGCAGGTTATATAAAGTACGTGTTTATCCCACTGTTGTGGATGACGTTTTGCTCTAGTATTCTTCTTCACAGACTTTGGACTGAGCTTACAAAGCTTCATTTTAAGGGCATTTATTGTAGAGTTCATAAAGTTGACTTTTTTATCCAGACCAAGTCGAGAGTTCCGGATTTAGTAAAAATGCCCCTAAATATAAAAAAATTACGTCATTCAACTGCTGGTCAAGCACATGAACAGAGAATTTCCATTAATTGTACACGTGCCAGGATTTGAACATTGTTTATGTTTAAAAGTCCTTTGCAAACAATAGTTCATCAGTCTTATCTAAAATAGATTCCTGTGGATTAGCGGAATTATAAAAAACCGAAATAAAATTAGAATTAAAGAAGCGACCTGATGTTCTTTGGAGAGGGCATAATGTGCATGAAAGTGGCACATTTGCCGAAGATAACGAAATACTTTAGATACAATGAAAGCTAGACAGAAAATGCAAGCATGAACTGGATTTTGTAAATGAAGAATTATTTTCACTAAACTGTAAGACACTGTAAACCACAGTAGACTTTTTTACTGAAAAATGGAATCTATTTGGGGAAGACTATGTTTAAGAAAATGCTGTGGCATTTTTAAAACATTTCAAATCCCTTAAATGCGACATGAAAAGCAAATTGCCGCAAAATGTTTATGCTGGATAGCAATTTGATTACAGTTATTTTTGTATTTTTTACAACCATTGTTCAATGTCCAAAAGAGGATCTTATATTTGATTCTTAGAGGTCACGTTGAAAAAGCACAAGAGCATGCAATATCCGGCCAATTATAGTAAGGAGGCTTCGGGGAGCCTGTTTGACTCATAATGTTTAATGTCCTATCTACAACCCCAAACATAAAACTCCAAATAAATTACTAAGCCAGCCGGCATCTGGACTGTGCCTGGATTGCGACCTTGCAACTTGCCAGCGCTGGGAGCCGTCTATTAATGGATAGTGGCTGAGTACCTTTTGGTGGCTGCTTTGTTGCCTCGGCAGTTAAGTACGATGTCGGCTAGTGCCTGGTACGTTTTAAAGCTTCACTACGACCGACTCCTTGCTGCCTTTTTTTAAAGCTTCACTACGACCGACTCCTTGCTGCCTTGGGAACCACAGCATACGCGTCTTCGACCGCGTTCCCACCCGCCCTCAGGGC